TGAGAGGACAAGGTCAACCCATCCTGGCTACTCCTCTCCTCACTATGGAGAAGGCCATAACAACCTGTACAGTTTCTGGCAATTACATGCTAAAACTGCAACTGTGTGGTTACTTAGCACCGAGGCATTTGATTAGACAATTCACCCTCCTCCTTTTCTTGGCAGTTAGACCAATACAACCATTTTAAAAACTATTTTAAAAGAAAAGAGACATGCAGAGATATCACTGAATTTAAATATTTAAATGCAAAATAGTTGATAAAAAAGGATAAATTTCAAAAGCTATACTGCAAATCAGGCAGACCACAAGAAGGCTACAAAACAGAAGAAAAATAGACTGTTTGGGGAGATGCTGAAGCAGTTTTTTCTCTTACAGATCATAAAAACCTCTAATAATGTGAAGGGCTAAAGATTGGAATTACCCAGAATTCCCTAACTTGCACAGAAAAATACAGAATTTCAATTTGAGTAGGTAACACACACAAAAAAGGAAAAAAGGTAAAGCAAATTTATATTGTTTCCAAACTAGTTTTTTTTTTTTCATAGCAAAAATTCCTCTGCTTTTTTTAGTGAAACTTTCTCCAGGGCTCTGTAAAGATTCTATTTTAATGAGAAGCTGATTAAGAGCTATGTTAAATTATTCTCTTTTCCAGCCTCCATTTAGAAACTTACATCATTTTTAAAAAGAAATTTTAAACTTTTGTTATTTCTAGCAGAGAAGAGAAATGCAGCATTCTCAATCTGTACACAACAAAGAGTCATAGTGCATTCCTGAATGTGGAATTTATGTCTGCTTTTGTCTGTCAAATGAGCTGAATCTGTGCCTATCAAAGATTTATAAGCTTTTTCGCTGACTATTTTCCACATTTGCAATTATTACAGTAGGTAAGCTTCCTAAATGTCATGCAAATGAATGGGCAACTATATTCAATAAATAAATAATTCACTTTAATTATAAGAAGATTGAGCACAGGTTAAAACATCAAATCAGGAAAATACAATTATAATCCAGAACCTACCTGAGGAAGTGGACAGCAGATTGTTGAAGAGAAGGTGAACTGCTTCTAATTAGAGTTGGAGATGGTACCTTTGGAATCTCTACTGAACCAGTCATGGAACCAACTTTGCTCCGAGGAGCTGGCTTGGGTGTCTCTAGGGCATAATATGGTACTTCTACTGGGTGTGTTCTAATCTTCAAAGGTGTAACCTGGAGTGGAGAATGCTGGCCTCTTTGGGTTTTTTCTGAAGAAAAAGATTGAAAACGTTTCATAAACCAATTCACTATCCTTTATCCTATGGCTCACTCATGTTGTAGAAAAGGGTCCTGGATTAAATGAATTTAAATGTCAATTTAAATTTAAATCCCAATCTTCATTAAAGACTACAACCCATCTTTTAAGCATGATTTTATAATAGACAGTTATAAAAAGAATATTTATTCTAGTAAAAAAAATGCACAGACTACCATACATAAATACATTAAAGTATACTTTTTCCTGAATTATCAATATTAAGAGCTGTGGGAAACAGCACTGACCAAACAATCACCATGACAAGAACCTTGAAAAAGTCTTTAGTGAAGGATTTACTCTCATCTAGTTCTTTATGATAATTTTCACTTTTGTACAATTAGTATCTTTATAGCATTTTGCTTGTATTATATACCATGTTTTCCTGAAAATAAGACAGGGTCTTATTTTATTTTGACCCCCTCAAAATAAGTGCTTGGCCTTATTTTCAGGAAGGTCTTTTTATTTTTGAGGTGCAGGAGGAGGAGAGAGTGGTCCCTGAATGGCTGCTGCTGTGTTGCAATATTTTCGGGGAGAGCTTATTTTCAGGGGATGGCTTATTTTAGTGCATGTGCTCAAAAGCCCGATTGGGTTTATTATCCAAGGAAGTCTTATTTTCAGGGAAACAGGGTAGATGTTTGGTATAGGTTTATCCTTCTTAACATTTAAGCTGCCCAGACTTACCCTGTAGTAAGATGGGTGGTAAACAAATTTAATAAAAATTTTAAAAAATAGTTAAGTAACACTTTATTAATTAGTTTTATTGATACA